AAACAATTGATTGAAAAAAGTAATGGATAAACTGTTGAAAAAGTAAAAACAAATACTAGATAATTGTTTGAAAAGTTGATACAAATGATTGACTCAAATTAGCCTAATGGATAAACAGTTGAAACAATTAGCTTCCCTCTGTGTAGTGGTAGTAATATGAGTAGTAGTAGTAAATGAATAGTACGATTATTGACCAATGCAAACTAAATAACAATACTCACCTATAGTCTTATGAATAGTTTTGTACATTTGGAACATACGTACATTGGTAATCTTGCAAGAGGCACATGCGGTTTTCAGAAAGAGCTTTAAACCTCATTCAAAAAGGATTTGCTTTCAAATACATCAAATCAGAAAAGGTTTTGTCAGCATTAGCTTGAACATTTGTTAAGTTAATGTTAGCTTAGTATGATATTTTCCCTTGTTAGAAACTAGGTAGTAGTTAGGAATTTAAAACTCACAAACTCACGCCCACACAGAAACCAGCATGCAAGACACACACAATCCACACACATTTTAGCTTTATGCCTAAGAACATAAATTACCAAGCAAGTCAAATGAATAATTATGTTTTTATTGCACAAATTATGCTCTGTCCCTTAAACTAGCCAGTCTCTGAGGCCTGGGAAATGTATTAAGGCAGTGCTATAGATCATCCCATCCGCTGTGGCGTGTATATAGATCGGTCGGCTCATTTGAGGAATATTGAATCGGTTACAGTAAAGTAAGCCCCTGGATTGAGTCAAATGTAAAAATCCATGCATGTGTGAGGAGCTGTCAGCGTGTGCTGTAATGACGGATGGCGCTGGGTCTCTGTTTCAGCGAGAGGTGATAAAAAGTGGTATTATGAGTGCTGGGGAGGCACGAGGGAGTGTGGGGGAGCAAAGACAGAGAAAAGAGAATTGGACCAGATCCGTCAAATGATAAGAGCAATCATTCAATCTGGGGACGTTTGGGACGATGGAAGGTGTTATTTCCTCTCAGTGCAGTTCGGAGTCAGGGGTCGGTGAGGGGTCAAGAGTATGGCCTCTGACCTCGGGATAGTGAAGAGTGAGACACCAGTCAGTCAGTTATTGATTCATGTCCTTCACAATTTACCCATGTTATTATCTATTGGACATGATTGGTTTCCAATTGCAGTGGAAGGACTTAAACACAAAGGAGAGACTTGATTAGCAAAATAATTGTCGTTTAGAAATTATACTTGTTGGAAATCTTTATCCACTGCACGCAGGTTATTTTGAGGAAACGTCACTCACGAAGGTCTTTATTTGCACAAATTATGTCTTATTAAATGTGCAATGGAACAGCAGAAACCAAATAAATAAACACCCATAAAACACCCCTGACCAAACAAACTCTTAGACTCCAAACATTTCCTCAAAGCGACGATAATAATACAATGTAAGCTGTCTTGAAAGATATATGTAATTGAATAACACAAAATAAAGATATTATATCAATAATAAAGGATTGTCCATACACAATATCCCAGTTAAAGCTCTATCTAGTAAGCAGCTGTTAAGGCAAAGTTAAGTTTGTTACTTAGTCAACATTTATTGAGGTTTCTGCACATCATAATTGCCAAAACGTGCGTAATTAGATGAGAACAGATTTGATCAAACTGTTCTGCAAAGTATATCGTACTAAGCAGTAGAAGCATAATCTGAAACAGGAAACACGAGACATAATCCCTACCCTTACATAGTTTGATTTTGCTCTCATCCCAGTTACTTCACTGATACCCTCCTGAAAGTGGGTCTAGTTTCTGGTAGCATCCAACTGTATTACAACACAACCCCTTGCTAAAGCCTGACAACATGCCTCCCTTCTGCTTTCTGTCTCAGGAGCATCAAACAGAGCCGTGGACCCCCCACCGGGCCGACCCCCACACGCTCTGATGCTGACCCGCTCCGAGGTGTGAACTTCTCTCCCCAGCTGATAGAGCCTCCCGATCATTTTTATAGTCCCCATCTCTCGCTGTTTATGACTCTGCAGTTTGATTATAGCAGAGGGGGCTTGAAGAGGTAAGAGCCTCCGGAGAGGCACACACACATACATCAAAGGAGCGAGAGGAATGTGGACATTTGTTGTTTGTTTTATCATCCAGTACCACTTATCTGCTTAATCATAAAGGATTGGCCTGGGAATGAGGCAGGAGGGAGGCTGTGCTGGCCAAACAAACTATCCCAAACACTGTAATCGTTACTGGAGGGACGAGCCAGATTCAATTTGGTCGTAGCAGCTTACAAGGTACACGGGTGTTTTATTTGAAGAGAGATCAGAAGAGCACTTTAACATTACAAGTCCAGGTAGAGGACAAGAGGTTGCTATTACATTAAAGATGCATTTGAGTGATTCAGCTGCATCTGTAGTCAACTATTTATTCTATTTAATATCACAGTTTACTCAATCAGTCCTTTCTAATTAAGTTGAATACTCATAGTGCAAATAATCAGTAACATGTGCTTTATGCAAGACATTATTGATCTTAACAATATTATGATAACATTTCAAGACACTGGCATGTTTGACTGATTAGTGAAGCAACTAATTATGTTCTTAATTTATTAATCTGCCTATTGTCTTCTTGATTAATTGATTCATCTTGTGGTCTATGAAATGTCAAAAATAATGTAGGAAAATGTCCCTCACAATTTCTCAGAGGCTTAGATGATGCCTTCGTGTTGCTTTTAGACTTGGACCAAAAGTCCAAAACCTTAAAGATATTAAATGTACAAATACATAAATAAAAAAAGGAATTCCTCAATATTGAGAAGCTTGAGCAAAAACAATTATTTCCTTTTTTAGAGACGCATTATTTCTGGAGCAGTTTTGCTGTCTTCTATTCAAGCCTTTAGTCACACCTTAAAAAAACCTTTAAAAAATTGTAATCATGATTAAACATGCATGTTCCTGGTCAAATTGGTTGGACCTGATGCATTTAAAAAAATGTTTCTCAACTCATAGCCTTGTTAATGTAGTATTGATTCCTGTTTCATGATAAGGGCCTGTTCTCCTCCCGTTACACAGAGAAATCAGTGTATGGTAGATGTCTTACTTGCAATATATTGTACCCAAGAATTACCTGTGTTGCAGTACCATTATAATTATGGTGTTTCTCCATCTGTTTAAAGCAGACACGGACAAATACAATCTTTAACATTTAACATGACAGGCCACATAAAGGCCTTATAAAGTGCATACAAATATATGTAGTTCCTAATGGCAGAAGCAGCACGCAACTCAAAAGTACCAATGCATTTTTCTTCAAATCTGGTTGGGGTTGGATTAATCTGAGTCTTAATGCTGATGCATCCCAAACCGCTTCCGTAGCAAACTGACTGAGCTGTAGCTACAGTGTGTGAGATACACAACACTTTAATTAAGTCACAGGATCTCGCCCCCCTTTTTTCTCTTTCTGGCCCTGAGAGTCAATCAGACTCTCTGCCCTTCGTTTCCCCTGTGTGGGAGGCCGCTGTGCCGGACTGAGTAGCTGGGAAAGTCCCGTGATTTATGGCCCTTTGCAGGCCTGACTGCCCCTCACCTCGCCCATGATAGAGCCAGAGGTAACGAGGACTGGTTGCTCCAATCCACTCTTCTATTTGCTAAATCCAATTTGATTCATTTGGGATTTAAAGGCACTTCACAGCGTTTGCCGTGTGACGCACATACTATTGATAGATAAAATTGGAAAGATTTATCAGAGTACTTCTATGTGTAATTGGGTATATTTCTTACAGGATGGGTGATAATCACATGGATTAGATGTTAATGATTAAGCGCTCCAGAGGGAAAGAGAGGGCTTTTTATTCTCAGTCTCACATGGTAGACTTTCATTTCCTTATTCATTACTTTTCCCTCCTTTTGAAGTATGCTCCACAGAGCCTTGTAAAAGTGTTGGATGCATTTGTCTGAGCAAATTGAAAACAGCTTAAACTGAATAACTATAGGTACCAATCTGTTGTGGCTTAATATTTACCTTGTGTCTCTTTGCCCAGGTCAAGTGTCCCCCACTGCTGTATCAACGATATTGAAATGTACTGTATTGCGGATAACACACTAAACGAGACCAGAGTCCATTTTGAATCATTATGGGGTCCTTTTTTGAGGCTTTCCATACATGTTTCAGTCTACATCGGAAGATCAGGCAACTATGACATATTAAAATCAACCAACCTTACACACGTGGAGGTACACACGCGAACACCAGCAGCAGCAGGGCAGTAACTCAAGGCCAAAGGAGGAGGTTTATTTTTTATCGTGGGCAAAGGCGCCAAATCATGTTGGTATGAAGGGGGCTATATAAATGCAAATTGTATTGGAGAGCTATTAGTCCTGGAAAAGGTTTGTATGTAAATGCCCTATAGGACCACAGCGGAGCACTCGGCCAGTTCAGAGATTAGTGGGGTTTGTGGCAAATGTGCTGCAAAAGACAAAATAGAAAAATAGACAGAAAATGCAATTGCCTTGTGGTAAACCATGGTGAACAAGGTGAGTAGTTGAGTAATTGAATGGCCAAGGTGTTTCTCTATGGTTTATTGTGTATGCAAGAGAGGTGTATGGAGGACTGTTATATGCAGGTGTTTGTGTGTTATGGTCATTTTGTAGTACATGATTCAGATTTTGTTTCTGTCCCTGCACATAAAGTATGACAGTAAGCAGCTCTGTGGAAGTGAATGAGCATAAAGATGAAGCATCACTAAATGAATTATGGGCTGATTAATGCCTGCCTTGTTTATGGCCGTACAATATTTCACAACTAGACTTTGTAGCTGGCAATAAAACATAATATAGTGACTGGATAAAAGATGGGTGATTATGAAATTAACAAATGAAATATGGCACAGGATGCCACATCCTTCATGGAAAATAAAGGATGTAATAATTGGGCAATAGGCTGTGGGAGACAACACTAGCGCAAGGCCGCCCTCTAGCTTTAAGATGAGGGATTCACAGCCTTGCGACACCTATCAGTCATTAATCCACCACACAGAATACTGAGTTATATTGCACTTTATTACGACAGTGAATGTCTACAAATTAATAACATTAAAAATAAGATATTACAAAAATAAAGTGTGCAATTAGAAGAAAACACCCTCATATATACATTTCAACATATGCATTGAAAGGGGTTCAGATCACTTAAAATCACTGTATTGATACATTCTACTTGTTTTTTATGCTGCCAAGTTTAAACAGAATGACAAAAGAGGTAGTTTCACCAAAATAAAAAGAAACACCTTCTGTCGCCTCCTTGTATCATGCATGAGATCACTGTATGTCAAATGTAAAGTGCGAACTGCAATTCTTCAAAGATCTTTTTTTCTTCCTGAATTATCTCTTCCGAAACCTTATATTTCTGCAAACCCAGGTCATTCCGTCCTGAAAAGAAAAATAATATTTGTGAGTACTTCAATTTGTATCTAAAAATCTCAGCAATGTAAAGTTTAAAAGCAGATGTTCTTTTCTTACATCCAGAGGCAGCAGAATACTCAATTACAATACCTTCAAGTAAAGTAATCAATGCCAATATTCTGCAAGTTCTTAATACCCAGAACAGAGGCAATTGGTGCCACTCTGCAGCCCACCCTGTCTCAACCCTTGCTGTGTATGCATGTGTGTTTGCTGACAGTGTGTACTGTATTTACCTGCAGTCCCTCAGCAGTGGCTGCTGAGCAGGCCTGGACCTGCCACATGCGGTCTCGGATCGTGTGCAGACTGAGACATTCTGCCAGCTCAGACGCTGGGGTGGCAGTCATCAGATCCTGCTTGTTGGCAAAGACCAGCAGTGGCACAGCAGCGAGCGTTTCCTCCTCTAGCAAGTCAGCCAGCTCCTGCAGGAACAAACAAACATATGGCAGAAAACTAAATAATACAGATTTTTGGCTTCAATTGCAGTCAATATTGTTTAAAATTAGAAATGAATAAACTGTAATTACAATCTGTAACTCACATTTAAAACATCTAGAAATAATGTAGAAAGAAGCAGTTTTGCATCTCACCAGACCTGTCTCTTCAAACCTTTTCCTGTCGGAGCTGTCAATCACATAGATCTGCAAACAACACAGTCATAGACATTACGATCTATACTATTATTTTTATATATGGTTTATTTTATTTTAGAAAAACAGTAATCTTATGGGCCAAATAATTTGTAATGAAAGCATCTCAGAAACCATCAAGCATTTAAATCAATGAGATCGTAACAAGTTGAATATCATATAGAAGTTATGCACTCATGTGAAATGGAAAAACATCAAATATACACCCGGTTATGAGATTTCCTATTTTGTCTTGAATCCATTTTTAGTAATTGTAATGTAAATACGTCAAGACTTTAGACTGCTCAGAACAAATGGTGTTGCATTTTTCCTGAGCATACTAAAGATAGTCTTTGGGCTCACATGAGTTCATTCCAGCTATTTTTACAAACAGGTAAGCACATCAAAGCGAACCTACCAGTACATCTGTGTTCTCAAAATAATTCTTCCAGTAGGGGCGGATCTTGCGCTGACCTCCTATGTCCCACACATTTAACTTGAAGCCAGATGATTGAACGCTCTTTATATTGAAACCCTGTTGAAGATAACATGTGTATCCATGTGAGGAAATGTGTGACAATGGTAAAAAAATATTATATTTCCACAGCGTGAGATTCAACTTCTGGATGTGTGCCTTTGTGTACTTGTGTGGGGGTGATGTGGCTGATATCTTCCGCCGCCAGCTGTTTCAGCAGAGTGGTCTTGCCAGCGTTGTCCAAGCCCAGCAGCAGTAAGCGCACCTCCTGATCTGGGGTCGGCTTCAGCCTCCGAAGAATGGACAACAGGCCCTGCAGTTGGATCAGAGTGCATGTTAGAGCAGGCTCAAAGATTACATATAACCCTGGAAGCAATTTCTCATTTCATTGTTACATGGTCTAAGCTGTATGAGGTAAAGCCCCATTCATCAGAGGCCATAGGGTTTGGCATAGGAACCAAATGCAGCGTGCACAGGAGGTTAAACACTCACACCATAGCAAGAGCTATCTAAAGCATGAGGACTTAGCTGTGAGCCGCTTGCAGAAACCTACACGAGCCAAAAGCTATCATTGGCCAAGATTAAGCATGTGCACAGGGAGTGGATGTTGTCCAGAAGGCTTTGGCTCAAGCAGTCACTGCACTCCCACTGACCTGAAACATGTGCAATGTGCCAGATGTAGAGTCTTTTTTTGTAAATATATAAATGGACACACTTATTGAGGCATTTACTGGCTAGTGCACATCTTTTTTTTTTTTATCTTAAAACTCAATTGTTTTCTTTGGCTTGTTCCTGATTGTGTAACTTAATATTGTGTTGTTTTTACAGTTTGACTTCTTGTTTCTAGAAGTTCCTCTGTAACAACTGGTTTTAAACGTATTCAATCAAAATGTGGTGCAAAACAAGGAAGCCTGCATATACCTTTTTCCATGGCAGACAATGTCAAAATATAAAAGGCACAGGTGTATTTAAAACATTGCAATTTGGGAAGTCCCTGGTATTGTGCATGCTGGTTCCCTGGATTATCTTTTTAGAATATGTATTGGAAATGAGTCACTGTGCTTTTATCACGACAGGTCAAAATGTCTGCTCTAAGAAATATTTTTGGACACTGACAACTTAACGGTTACACAAAAGTAAAGGTGTATTTTATCTACCTACATAATTAAGTTTGGTACAATTCAATTACATCTAACTCTAGCAATGCAAGACAAACATAAACAATACAAGTGTTAATCTATGCTTGTTTTGATAATATAATAAATGTCCTTATATAGATGACACAATTATACCAGACGGACATTAAACTATGAATCATAACAATAAAAGGAGATAGTGGTGGTAAGTAGAATACGTTTAGTAAAAGTAGATGTGTCCTACTGGTATCTCTTTTGGCTGCCATGACATGTTAGCCAGCTGAAGCTAACAAGTTACAGTAACACACACTTAAAACAAAAATACAAAAATATAAACAAAAATGTTTAAAATCTGTGACTCCAAAGCAGGCAGTGCTGTACAGTTTTAAACTCACCATGTTATCCTCAGGTGCTGTTGGTACTGTGACCCTTTGTTCAGACTGAGAGGATTAACATCTTTCTAACCCATGCTTCCTGTAAGAACAGCTGTTAACTTCTGCTGCCAGGAGAACAGAGACGTCAGAGTTAACAACGTGACAGCTGGGTGTCTCTTGGCACAAGACAGACATTTCTTACTGTAAATGTAGTTTTCTTATTGATGAATTGTTTATATATTTCCCTTTTAAAGCAATATATTTGAATTTTTTAAGCAAAATGCTAATCTGAGCTAGAGGTTAGAATTCAGACATAAGATCATATTTTCCTAGCCTTGGTGCATTTGATCTTTTTTACACCCTACATTTGCTAAATAGAGATTATTCATTTTTCCCATGTCATTATTTTTTGATCTTATAATATTGTAATGTAATATTATATTTGTATTGAGAAATGCATCAAGTTTGTTCCTTTAGATAACACTCCTTAGTAGATATAGTTTTGAAGTAGAAAAGGTTTATATGGTTTTGTAGCTCATCCTGTCGTGCTCATCCTGTCATGCAATGATTTCCATGTTTCCAATTGTGTGACAACTGACAAGCATAACAAAATTGCTCTGCTGTTTCCAAATGTAGGTAGCATATGCCAGAGATCTAGGATAGTACATTAACTCACACGTTATTGTGATTAATTCATTTGAAGGATAAATAAAAGGACTTGAACTTGGATTTTGTGAGATCATACCTTTTCACACATGCACATACAGCGCCCTCTAGAGTCCATTTGTCGTCGTTTCTCTTTACTACAGTAGTGCTGTTTCTGAGTCAAGGAACAACAAAAACATGTCCGAGTGCGACAGACTGAAGCTTCAACCCGCAGTCCCCCTCAACAAGACATCTCATTGACCGACTGCTTTATGATTCCCGTCGTGTCAACGGCCGACACCCCAGCAAGATGCCGCAGAAAGCACTGGGATCCATTGTAGGTCTTCTTTGTACCGGGACCTGTCTAGTGCAGGTAAGCCGCCGCTAGTGCACCCAGGGTCGGCCGAGGCTTCCAGCCGATGCCGCTGCTGCCGGGGTGGTGAAGGCCTTTAGCCGAGCCTTTTTGTCTCCTCCACAAAGGAAACGGGGCACGGTTCGCTCCTGTATCCTGCGGATGACGTCAGTTAGGCAAAGTTTTGATTTATATTTCGACAGTTTGATTATTTCAGTTTTAACTCCAAGATACATGGCTGTGTTTTATCACCTGGATTTAACAGTTTTAACCAAGGGTATCAAGATTAACGTTAGCCGTTGTGCTAACTGGTACCCTGCAAATTGACGTGTATATTAGTAGTTGATGATATTAGTAGTCCCAGTTTGTCCGGTTTGCTTTCCTGATGAAACACAATTTTAACTTTATTCAAATGACGTTGACAATATTGGTACACTTGCAATGAAAATGTAACATTTGTATTTGTACCAACGTTTATTGGCGTAACTTGCTGACCTCGTTTGACCAGTAACAGTGACGTTACACTCTTCTATTGTCATTATCACATACTTATTTAAATTACAATTTAATGTTAGTCATTCACAATTGTAATGTATCGTTTGCAACATTTAGCAGTGATGGTTGTTATTGCCTTGAGCCTTTTATAAAATGTAAACGTCAGTGTCTTTTGTCACTGTTATTTGTTACCACAACAAGCAGTATTTTATTCTTGTACAGCATTTATTTTCACTTTCTGTTTTCTGTCTATTTTTCATGTATATAGTACTTCTCCTGCATTACCTGAACATTGGTCACTTGCAACATTCTCATGCACAATTTTATTTCTATTCTGTTTCTTTTTGCATAATGTTATTGTTTTATTGTATTCTGTCTTATTTATAGTTGTGTTGCATTGTTGAAAGGGACTGGGACTCAATATTTTCTTTACCATAACTACACTGTAGTTAGTTATATGACAATAAAACCTTTGGCTCTTGAATCTTTTGCCTGTATGCGTACAGAAACTAATTTACACAAACAGGCTAAACTAATTAAACCTGTTTGTGAAAACACAGTAAGGTTACATTTGTCAGTTTACCGAAAGCCACTCTGCAGTTTCTTGTTGACCTGTGTAATTGACTCTCACTTTCTGTACCTCTTGTGTGTATTTAAGGGGAAGGAGTTCTGTTTCGGGGTAAACAATGAACAGTACCGCTGTGAGATGGGGTACTGCTGTGGAGAGACTGAGTGCTGCACCTACTACTACGAGCTCTGGTGTAAGTTCCTATTCTTTAGTTGATTTATTTCTCCTTATTCTATATTAACATTAATCACACAACATGTATTTGTATCCCATCACTATTGTCCCACTAAATTCAGATTAAAGAGAACATACTCTTAGATTTGTGTGGATTTGTGCCTGATATTTACTCCAGAAATTAGTTTAACTTTTGCAAAAAAATAACTAGAAAGTAAAAACAGTTGCCAGTATTTGATGATAAGATGACAGTGATTCTCTCACCTCTCATAGGGTTTTGGTTGGTATGGACCCTGATCATCATGCTTAGCTGCTGCTGTGCTTACCGACACCGGAGGGTTAAGATGCGCCTTCAGCAGGAGCAGCGTCAACGTGAGATCAGCCTCATGGCCTACCAGGGAGCCTCCAGCTCCTTCATTTCCCCTCCACCGCTCAATCTAAGTGAGTAGTCTTGGACGTAAAGATCCCTCCTCCCAGAATGTAATAGTCAGATGGATAGGGCATATCTGATTTTGCATACACACAAGGAGCAGCTGTTCCCTGCCCTTTGTGAATGAAACAGCCACCTTGTACTCCGAGAGAGATATAACCTTTGAATTAGAGGTGCTGATCCTCATCCTGACCTTGGTATACCCTGTTGCAAATTGCCTGTGTGTATATTGGAGAGCAAAGTCTCAGTTGTCAGTACGGCATCAGACATCAGAGATGCCACCCTAATGTCAGTTGAAAGTTGATATCCTGCCCCTTAATATCACAAACAAGGCTGACCATGCTGCTTGACTTGATGTCAAGAATGTGAACACAACTCTGACTTTGAGCATACACAGACAGTGACTAACATAGAGACCTTGACAAGCATATATTCTTGCAGCTCTTACATGAGGATATCATGGGAATGTAGTAACAAGCCTTTTCAATTTACTCAGGGTATGTTTTGTTTGTTTTTGTGTTCCTCAGGCATGCCGTCCAACAGCACAACTTTAAACATACAACCCTGATTTATGCAGTGATATTACCATCTTCAAATGTATCTTCATTTGATATGTATGTGTAAACTTAGTGATTGAGTGCTCTCAGGGTTGGTTAGATTAGGTTTTGACAAAGGGAAACTTGATCTGGTAGACACACACAAATGTAGCACAGCGTTTAAAACATTATGAAGCAGTTTCACAACCTCCAACCCTCTTTTCTACTTGTAGAGTGTAATAATATCCCAGTAAAATACATTTAGAATATTTACCTGATGCACTTTCCTTATCAATACTTAAAACAACTTATTTTTAAAGCATGAAAAGTATGTACAGCCACTTATGGAAATGTTGGTTGGATGCTAAAGCTTTCTGTGTATGCTGACTTTTAGGGTTCTGGAACGACTGCAAGCTTCCTGACTATGAAGAGGTGGTCGGTCACCCCCCAACACCACCTCCTCCTTACTCTGAAAACCCCCCTGAAACCAACCCATCACTCCCTCCACAATTGAGCCAGCCAGTTGCTGCAGTGCCTCACCCCCTGCCTGAAGCAGCCCCGAGGGACGACAGTCAGGCTTCAGGCTCATCCCCAGATCTGGAAGCTGTGTCGGTGTCGGTCCAAGCACAGTGTGTGGTAGAGGAGAACGTGGAGGCTTCGCTCGTGGCGGCAGAGGAGGAGGAGGAGGAAGAGGAGGATGAGGAGCTTATCACTCGGCGACGCCACGTGACCGGTGACTCAGGAATTGAGGTGTGTGTTTGCCAGCTGGACATAGACGAGGGTTCAGGGCTTGAGGAGGAAAGCGATGAGGAGCACCGGATGTGTAAGGTCACCGGGCAGGACTGCTGCTCCGGGCCCCGGCAGCAGGCCTTCAGACAGAAGCAGCGCACCCCCGAGCTGCCCAGCCAGACCGCCAGCACCAGCACTGGAGACCACATGGTGTGACCCCCTGCCTAAATAACTAACTAACTAACTAACTAACCAGCCAACCAGCACGGCTTTCTGCTTCACGCAGGGAAATATATGACATATCTGTTGCAATCATCATCATCATCATCATCATCACCACATTATGTTTAATTCAAAAAATTCTAAACTAACGCAGGCGTGACGTCAGGGCGATGATGATAACTAATAACACATTATGTGGACAAACTTGTGGCATTTTAATTTTTTTTGCTTTGCTTTTCTTTAGTGGGGAAACCAGCAAACACACTTGGATGCTTCATTTGTTCATAACACCTTTTATGAGGTAGTGAGAAGGCAGCGATTGATTGTGACTGAAACCAGAATCCACTGTTTTCTTCGCTCCTACCCTCTCCTCGAGCACTGTCATCATGTTTCCGTCTCTGCACTCTCCTTGGTCAGGACATTTTGGCCAACCTTTCGTCTGACATTTTACCTCCGGAGGGACGATCAGCTTGGAGCATACCAACACGGTCAACAACATTTCTCCCTTGTCCGTGCTATGACTCTGAAGCAGAGGAGGGAAAAGACAAACCAGAACTGGATGAACCAACCGGAGCACACGTTTCATTTCCCCCGAGCTTTGTGTTCGTTAGTGCGTGTGTGTGTGCTGTGAAATATAGAGCACAGCTGCACGATGATGTCAGCTCTGAGGTCATGGTAACCAGCCTCTGGTGTCAGGTCTGTGGGACTTTTCGCATCTAGAGGGGGGGGAGTTTAAACTCACAAACAGCAGAGGAGCGATACCAGAAGGAGTTTTGTCTTTTGTTTTAAGTGTCATACACCCCCTAGCCCTTTTCCCTCTTCGTTATTCATGTTGTGGTCAGCAATTGGCATAACTGTAGGTAGGGAGCGACCAGCTTTTAATGATTTATTGATTGTGTGCTCATCATCTCCCTACTTTGGTTTCTGGCGGCATTGCATTCATTGTAATGGCCAAGAGGGCTTGGCACCATTTTGTAATTCACAAAAAGCCTTGTCTCTGTGTTAGCGTTTCTTTATTAACTGTGTTACGTCAGAGTGTACCATCATCCTCACTCTAATGTATAGGTTGGATGTTCATAACAAAGGATATACCTGCTTTTTTTGTCCATTTTATAACCAGCTATGCTTCAGTGAATGCCGCAGGTTTCACTATTATTGCAACAAAGCTCCATGACGGGGGCTGCTAGAGTGTGTTCCAGTGAGTGGATGTTATAGTGCAGTAGGGACGGGTTGAGTCTTGTGATTGAGTTGTGTTTGAATATCTTTAAAGTGCTGAAGCATCTGGTTGTAATACTTTCTCAGCACTAAGGTGGATTAGCTATAAAAGCACTGGTATTTTGCATGAGGCATGAATTTCTGTGTTTTAAAATTTGATTTGATTAGTATTTTCTAGCCATTTTTTACTTGCTTTCCTCATTGTTTCTTTTAATGATAGTGGGCTACAGTGGCTACATATCTGTGTACCAGATGTTGGGTGTAAAGAAATAGACTGTGGTTTGGTTTTAGCTGCCCTATATCAAGTTGTGTTGTAATTACTGTGTGCGCCATGCAATGCCGTTGTGCATGGATGTTAGCTAGTTAGCTGATGCTGCCCCGGCACTGTGTGGCCCCGGTAGCTCTTAGCAGTGTGATGGATTTGCAGTGGTATTTTCCGTTGGCAGCCAATTGAGGTGGATGCAAGATCTTCTCTGCAGCCAGTGTTGGCACAGCTGCAGAATCTGTTGTGATTAACAGCAAACTCCTCTGTGTTGCATGTTGTTTGCCCATTATACTGTACAGTATGTATTCAAAGCATAGCAGTAAAACTAGTAATTGTTGGATAGGAAAACCACCGCGAAACAAAATTGTAAGATAAAAGTCTGTCTGTCCATAAGTCAGTAAATGTTTCGTTAGGGCATTTAGTTTGGGACAATGTCCAACAGCCTTTGATACTGTGTGTCAAAACGGGTGCATTGTAAAGACGGTCAGTCATTCTGCTTCAAAGGAGATCACAAAGTACTGCAGCCTTTATCATTTTGGAGTGTGTTACCTCTCTGGTGCGATAGTCTGTTGTATATAATGCATTAAACATGTCCGAGGCACAGTAACCTAACTTCCAGTTATCATTAACAGGTTGCAGACGTGTTTAAATCAAAGCTTCTATTCATACTTTTCCAGCAGGCTAAGTGGGGAGTAAAAGCCGACATTTCGTGCTTGCCTGGTGTATTTATTCAGTTATTAAAATGAATTGCCATGTCTCTTTTTATTTTCAGCACTAAAACAACTCTGTCAAAGACACATTTTGGAAATTCTTGGCCTCTTAACATGATGCGACACTGGGTTCTGCACCACGATTCGTATGATAGGGCCCATAGGAAAAAAATACAAGAGAGCGTGTGCACCAAAATATCAATATAGAGGGAAAACAAAATGAATGCATGGCTTATTAAGGTTAAATTATATTTAGTTTCATTTTCATTGACTTCATAAGTGCTGTTGCAAGGTTTGTGGTCCTTGTGTTGTCGAGCAGGTGCTTAAGCATGCAGTCAAACTAACATGACGACGACCTTTCCAGAGGAGCTGTTACACTGTGAGCTTGACTGCACACAGAAGTAATAAAAGACATTTTTTGACCAACGCACCTCAAGCTGCCTTGCTGCATCTCTAGAGAGCAAATGTCTTATTTATGGAGCTGCACAATAACAATAATACCATGCGGCGTGCTACTGCCTTATAAGAGTAGATGTAGTTTCTCTCCAATGGTAATAGTTGTGTTGTTCTAAGCATGGTTGCTTCAGAGCGGAGTGTTTTTGTATCGATAGAAGAAAAAAAAAGCTTGTTCCGAGAAAGTGTGCTTCCTTTATGAGAAGAGGATGTGGTTTGTAAACATTTAAAGCCACAGGATTTAAAGCGACACACGTTCTGTAGATTTGTATCTGAGGGTTGGTTTTGTCGAAAAAAACCAAAACCTGTCTAGTTAGTTAAATGTGGCACTGATGGAGTTAGTGATGACCAGATTATGCGATTGTTTTTGTCTGATATGGTCGAACTTAGTTTGTTATATTAACTGGCTTGAAAGCATGAGGAAAAAAACCATTTAGTTTTTGTTGTTATTCATCCTTTTTGTGTTTGGAGGGTGAAAATGAGCTCCTACAAGAGATTGCTTTTCAACCTTTTTACTAAGGTGCATTTTTGCTTATTTCTATACATATTTAGACAAAATAATAGGGGAAGGGGGGTGAGGAATGAGGGGAAGGATAGGGGGTTCTTTGGTGATTAGTGAAACTGGAGGTCCATCGTTCAAAAACTACCAGGCCTCCCTGGTTTTCACACGAGGTTAAGGGCTATATCAGTCATCAGTCGTGGACACATCCATCCATTTCACCGTGTGATTGGTCGCCTCTGTGCTGATCACTTAAAGCCACAGTTGCCGAGATCCACTCTCTGAACATGTGTTGGTTTGGATGTTCTTTCAATGTTGTGGTGGAGCTCCTATTTAACAGCTGATTGTATATGACTGTGTTCGTTTGTTTTATAGGCTTAAACTTTGCCTTTCTGTTTTGTCGACGGAGGTGCGTGATGCGACATCCATCCCCCCACATGACTCTTTCTTAGCTGCGTGTTTGGGCGTTTTCTCTTCGCCCCGTTGGCTCCTCATGGACCACCAGCCTCTGTCTTGGTTACACAAACTGTAGCCAAGCGCTTCGCTTGTGGACCCTTGGAAACAGGAGGGCACATCCACTCATGCCAGACAGATTCATTTACCAAAAGTCACCTCCATGCTACACAGATCGTGGCTTATTTCACCCATGTGTGTGTGGTTGTGACGATTTGGTTTCCCACTCTCAGGGTTATCACGCAGTGCTAGAGTTTTAAATACAAACATGTTCCGTCTCATGAAGCCAAAGCAGTTCTTCCCATTGTTGTAAAATGTCTTTTTTTTTCTGCATCACGCATCTCTGTAGTCTATATTGTAGTTTACTCAACTAGGCTATGCAAAAACATTAACCTACTGTTATATGCTGCGACCCCTTTCTCACTTTCTCTGTTACTTGTCTGTGGGCACCAGTACGAGCAATATAAATGAGTGCTTGTGGCACTGCACTGTACTGTAATCTTCTGTTGGTGTGCGTACATGTATTTGTTTAAGAAAATGTGTAAAATACAACTTGTAATGCTACTGCATTGATGTGGTCAGAATGTATGCTTCAGTGTGAGGGGCAATATGTATGTATATCATTTCCCCGTCTTTCTGGCTTTTCCAACCACTAACACTTCTACTCCTGGCTCACAGATAAACCACATTAGTAAGTGGATGAAGCCAGAGTAAAAAGTTGAATATATTGTTCATGTTGGATGAATTCCTTCCTGATATCTTTAATCTGTATTCCATCCCTCAGTTTTGTTGCACTAATTCGATTCATTGGTTTTCTCAGTTTTAGAAACGGGTTTCTTCTTTCTCCATCTTGATGAATTTTCTCTGACTGTTGCCTTTAATCCCAGCTATAATAAGTCTATCAGTTTCAAACGTTTTGTATAATAAACAATTGAACAACCTCAACATGGATTGCAGTCGGCTTGCATTAAACCAGGACACATTTGGCTGTTAAGGAACATTTTGAACTAAAGGTGTATTTTCTCTGTAAACTGAAACATATTCTCAACCTTAGATAATAACAAACAGATGGGGCCGCCACAGTTTAGCTATGTGGATTTTCTTTTTTGGCCAAATATCAGAAACAGCCTAGTTTGAGAAGGAAGCAGGCATCTTCAAACAGGCAACAGACTCTTTATTGTTTCCCCAAAAACTTTAAACAAGCCAAAATGAGTTTATTATATTATGAATTGAAGCACTGAATGATAAAAATGCTTTGGTTTTAGTATGAAGTCTGCTATGTATTTGTTGGGTCATCATTTGTATTTTTTTTTTTTAATAAAACAAAGATTGGCACTCAAATGAAGTCCTTGCCATTTCTTGACTCCTTTGATGTTTCCATTTCACCTCAAGTAGCCTTTTGCAGGGTCCTGGTGTGTTGTAAACATGTGTTGACTCAACAAAAAGATTTATTGAGCACTTGAGTGGAAATGGGCCCCTCCTAACATGACAAAGATGAGATATGGATCTGGAGGATGGTCTCACGGCTTCGTGTAAAGCACCCCCGAGTGGGCCTGAATTATTGACAGGAGGTTATGTCATACACACATTAGGATGTTGATGCTCAGGCACATTAAATAGTTTGATAAGCTTTTCTATAATGCACTATTTTTCAGAAAGTGGTTTATATTTAACTTTCTACCTGGTACACAGGAACATTTATTTTGTCTTACATAAAACACACTTCACACACATTATCAATGTAGTAATTTGTTGGTCTTTAATGAGGAAATACAAATAGTTCAGGACAAACACATTGGTTAAAAATGTAACACGTGGCGTGGTAACAGAGGAAACATGAGGCACGGTTGTCATACAAAACAAACACACTATAAATAAGGTTGGGTGGTTGTCAAAGTGGCTACATGAAATAAGGAAGTCCTCACTTATTGCACAACTGAAAACAAAGCAACACATGAAAGATTATGATGTTGACACGAGGCCTGCAAACATTTCCAGAACTTAAACGCTGAGCAACAGCTCCCTCCAGAGCCAGCATGTTTACTCGTTCTTCGTAAGAGCATTTGAGGTATGACAGAAACGCAGTGGTAGTGTTAAAAACAACACAAACACAAATGAATATTAGTGTACAATGTGCAAAGAAAACTCTCAGCAAAAAGGAAAATAGTTATATAATAAATAATTTTGTGTCTATTAATATTAAAAATCTCTTCAGTGCAAAGTACACATCCAACATTTAAATGAATTTGTTTTAAATATATTTAGAGGAGTTTGCTCTAATCTTTTGGGACTACAATAAAATCTTGGGAAATTAAAAATAAATAATCTAAATATATATATTTTTTAAATTGTTAAAAATAAAAATCCAGACTAAATATTTCTTTGAAACAGCCAAATATTTGCACATGCATCAATTAAACAGGCCGGATTTCCATACGCTTTACATAAACACATCAAAAGGTCAGGCATACTGTAAACAATGATGTGCAACAGCTCATAACTAACAACCTAAATGAAAGCCATGCAAACTACTACTAGAATATACAGCATACTATATAGTATATACTCTAAATGATTCAATACAAATGCATCTCATGCTAGCATGTGGCTACAGTACGGATGGCCTAAATTGTTTTTTGTGCTATTTGGTTAGCGCTTCAAGTCATATTGTAGATTGGAAAACATTGGATACTTATATATCATATCTGAAAACCATAAAAGTCAGTGAAAAAAAACAAAAACACAAGAACAAATCTCAGAAACACCTATTTGTCAACTACAGCAAAAGGGGATGTCACACTGCACGTATGCTAAGTAACAGGTAGAGAGGCAGAGATGGTAAGGCCGAGCTGGTGTGTGTCAGACGGGCGGAGGACAGAAATAAATTCTTCCTACTGCTTCATAACGACCAATGGCAAAGTTGGACGATGGCTTTGAGTAGCAGGTGATACATCTACTCCGTCTCCTGTCCATATAGTGTTTTTTCTCAGGTAAAAACAACTTGCTGCACTCCGACAGCAGCGTCTCAGTGCGGTTTGGGTCCTCAGACCTCAGGAGTCTTCACTATCACCACCTCCATCTTTGTTTTTGTCACAGTCCCTCTCAGTAGAAGCGCTTGCGTCGGTTCTCCTTCCAGTGGCTGTAGACCACCAGGCCGATGACGATGAGGAAGATGAGGCCCAGCATGGAGAAGAGCACGGCGAAGAAAATGGCTATTCCACTCATCCCTTCATCAACCAGACCGACTGGAAGAGAGTCAGGGAGGTAAAAAGAGAAGAAAGGGGGAGGACGATTATTTTTAAAAACATATAAATAAAAGATTACGGAAAGAGTGACATGCAGCAGAAAGGCAGACAAGGAGAGAGCAGGTGATCCCACAAAGACGAGTGTGTGTGTGTGTGTGTGTGTGTGTGTGTGTGTGTGTGTGTGTGTGTGTGTGTGTGTGTGTGTGTGTGTGTGTGTGTGTGAGAGAATGGCATAAGCTTGCAACATTTTAATTTGCAATGACAGAAGCATACATGCACACACTAATGTTTTTGGTGAGTAATGCGCAAAAGGAAATGAGTAATACGTTTGATAATGTAATTAAAAATTCTAGCGTGCATTTTCAAGGAAAGAGTGGGGTAATTAAAGTTTATTTGTATTGCACAAGTTCATCGATTGAGCAGTGGCGTACCGTGAGGGCCTTATTCGGAGAATATGCTGG